CTGTTCTCTCAGGCTCGTGGTGACCACTCTTCAGCCACAGCCAGGGGGCACCACACAAGATGTTCAGAGACCTCACGGATCCAGATAGGTCATCCCACTTTGTGCCTCTACATTTCCCCTACATCTTTTTGTTCTCCTGTTTACAGTACTGCTTACAAGGACGCTGTGGATTGCTCTCATGTGTTTCACTTTTTCACCTCGACTATTTACAAAGCCCCACTTAAAAGGCTGAAAGTAAAATTTCTTTATTGATTTGGTCTCTTTTTCCATTTGAAAAACATTGATTTTTTTTTTTCCTTGTGTTTTTAATGGAGCTTGAAATTAACATGAATCTGTTTGTTCAGATCCCTGTCTGAATTAGTGCAGTTTTAGTAATAAAGTTAGGTAGCTGTTACCTTGGAAACAGAGCTCTGTTTTAGAAAACATTTTAGCAAACATTGGAGCTAAAGAGAACAGAGTAGCAAAATCAAATTCCTCCATAAGAGATTGGTGGGTGTTGGTATCAGCCAGTACCTTCAGCCCAGAGCATGCCGCCTGCCTGACGGCAATCCCATAAGAAGTGAGTTAACTCAGGGGCTCTGGCTATTTTACAGTGTTTCAGTTTTTGCAACGGCTCTCTTCTTCCCTTCTCCCCTGGTAGCGCGGTGGTGTCAGTCAGCATTAAGGATTCACAGCTCTTCACTATCCCTTAATTGCCGCACTAATCTGAACTCCTTGGCTTAGCTGTGAGACCCTCTAAAGGTGCAGAGGTTCCTGCAGCTCCTCAGCAGTGCAATAAAGGCACCGGGTACAGCTGTCATGGCAAGATGGCCACAGGGAAGCGGCAACTGGTTGCAGGGATGTACAACACTGCCACAAACATGCAAGCTGGAACAGCGGCCTGCATACACAGAAATACGAGGCCTTGCCTTCTGCAGAACAGCAGGAGAGAGCCTCAAGACAAAAACGCTGCGTATGTGACAGTTCAGAGTGGTGGTACAAACACAAGGTAGAATATACCTTTGCTTGTATGCCTATACCACAAGCAAAACTGGAAAAAAAAGTTGTCCATATACAACAATATCACTGCACAGAACAAAAGGTGAAGCAGACTGAGCGAGATGTGTTAGGCTCAAACACCTGAAAATTGCTCTTGAAGCGGGCTCGATAAGGTTCATTTTTCTCAGTTTCTTTAGTTTTCAGTTCCATCCAAGTGGTGCACCAGGACAGGACTGTTGCCTTCCTCCCTCCTTTGAAAGATGAAGAGTTTTACCAAAAAGAACTGCAAACGGTAGAATTGTTTCTACACTTCCTTTAGAGGTACAATTCTTCCATGCTTGACTTTCTCTGACCATGAAGCTAACGTTATTTCAGCCACGTTTACTCAGATCCCAATTAAAAATAAATAAAAATAAAATGCTGCAGGAGAGATGAGAAGATGTTCTGCTGAGGCTTGTTCTTTTTAATCGTTTCTGTCTTCCAATATCACCTTCAAAAATAAAACCCCCAGCTCTGCAGAACGCTAACTGATTGCTTACTTGGGTACGTACATCCTTAGTGGGCAGGCAGCAGGAGGATGAGGAACAAACGATAATGCTCCCTGTAACCTCAGCATTAATGCACATAGCATAATAGACGGCTGGCCACTGCATTTGAAAAACAGTTCATGAAGCAAAGTAGAAATGATGGGTGTGCAGGATATAATTACAGCAGTAATGTAATAACATTCCATGTTAGATTATTAGGGGTCTATTCTGCCCTTGACATGCCTACATAACTTCCATTAACGTTAATTGAGGTTATGCACGTGAATCAGCAACTGAGCAAATCACTAAATTAATTACATGTAAAGTACCTGTTTCATTTTTTTAAATCCACCAATACGTTTGGCCTGTGCAAATGCTTACAGTCTAGGAGAGAACAACCACAGTGTGGAGGAGAAGCCATGTGGAAAAGGCCGTGTGGTTTTTAAAACCCCATTATACAAAATTAAGTTTTGATAAATAGGTAAAGGATAGTAGGAATACTAATTCCTGGACGGGGCTTCCTGCACATCCTTCAGAAACCCTGTGGCTTTGTTTGAATAAACTAGGAGAGACTCCTGCTCTTCTGCAGCACCTCCTGCAGAGGAGGTTATCTGGAGCTTTTATAAACAAAGGTGTAAAATGCCGGCTCTGCAGGCAAAGGCGGCACCTACTGTGAGTGCAGCCATGGGAGCAAGAGCAGGCTTGGACAAGGCACAGAGCTACTATTTTCTTCTGCTTGGCAATTGCAACCCCCACTTTCTGTCGAGGCACGCTTTGATCAAGCAGATGTGATGACAAGGATCAGTGTGACAACAAAGTCTCTGCATACAGTGGAAGAAGTTTGGGCTTGAAATTCAAAGCCTGTGTTTCACTGAAGGGTCTTACTCTGCACTTATCCTGGAGTCTGAAGGATGGACATTGATCTACAACAAATGGAATCACTCTCCTCTACCTCCTTCTTCCTTTGATTTTTGGTCTGAGTGCTGAGAGCTGTTGAATTTTCAGTACTCCTGAGCAGTTAAAACCAGATGCAAAGGAAATTAAAGTGCCTCCTGGAGGAAGGAGGGGAGCAGTAAATAACCTCCGTCACCTGCACCTCTAACCTGCCTTCTTGTGATACTATAATTATAGCAGAGCTAGGTCGTCAGTCTTTTCCACCCCAGGAACTCCCTGGAATTCCCTTCTCAGTGAGCCAGGCTCTGGAAGGGATTCCCCCACCCATTCAGCAACCTGAGAAGGTCCGGATGGCCATAAAACCTCTGCACCTGTTTGTGTCCTCCACTGGGAGGGGGCACAACTGCCCCACGTTGAGACTTCCTGAAATAGAGCAATATCCATGAAGCAATCAACAGAGACTCCCTCATTATAGATTAGAAAGGATGCCTGAGCTTTCAGACTTTTTATTTTGTGCGGGGTAAACAGCCTCTCTGGTTTCATCTGGACATGTCTTGAAAGAGCAGCTCTTGGAGTGGCTTTAGTTACAGTGAGCTCCACTGCCCCCACAGATGGCTGGTGGCCTGTTTCCCCACGTGTGCCTCGTGGCACTGGAGCATGCAAGCCATGCAAAGAGCCTTGGCTTCAAAGAGTTAGGCTCATGGGCTCACTGCCTGTTTGACAGGCAAATGGGAACTTAAGTTTCACCTCAGACAGTGTAGACACAGCTGCTGAAGCAACGTGAAGCTAACCCTGGCCAGCTGCACTGCAGATGGTGTTGCCAGTTTAATTAGTAATAGCATTATTTTCTGTAATTTTAAACATATATTTATTAATACTCATTTGTTTGCAATAAGATAAGGACTTTGAAGTCCCTTGTCATCACTGGGGTATATAAACAGGACCAATTGGAAGCATAAGAAAGGTGTGTAATCACCTGTGCTGGTAGAAAAGGGAGAGAGGTAAAATTTCAGCATTAAGGATGCATTAAGATGCTCTGGATGTCACTGCAGTGGACCTGGCCTGGCAGTGGCAATGACAGAGCTATTCCCACTGGCTCAATCTCTCCTCAGGAAAAGCAAGTAGAATCATAGAATCATAAAGTCATCAAGGTTGGAAAAGACCTCTAAAATCATCCAGTCCAACCATCCACCTATCACCAATTCTAAACCACATCCCTCAGTACAACATCTAAACATTTCTGGAGCGCAATGTAGGAGTGATGGCTTCACTGCCTCGGTGTCTGGTTTACCTCTCTCGCTCTCTCACAGATACAGACAAACAAGCTGTGCAGGAGGCATGCTTCCCAGGAGCTGGGAAATTAAGATGGCACAGAATAAGGGTGTCTAGAGTTGGGCTGTGCTCTTCCCCTCTCTCTGCTCTCTAGCATGTGGCTCAGTGTTGTCCTGTTGGAACCAGCAAAGGTGGAGAAGTAGAGGGAGAAGGCTCCAAAGGAATCTCATCAGCAGGACCACAGCAGCCAACAGTGTGACTTGGCAACCTGTGCTCAGTGCCTCACGATGCTCAAGAGATTGTGCATCAAACAATGGCTCTGGTACCATGGGCTGAACAAAGAGTGAGAGCAGGTGCTCTAAACCCAAGATGTCCTGACACCTTACACGTACCAGGCTGAGAACACGGAAGCCATCATGAGGAAAGGACTGGCCTCCACCTCACAGTGAAAAGGCCACCACAGAGAGAAGATGAGGGTACAAACAACAGATGGTTAGATGCCAAATAAGAATTTTGATGCGTAATTTCACAATTTCACATTTAATAATATTGATCTATGTATTTACTTGAGAAAACAAATGGCCTGTTCATCCCTTGGTTTTATCCGCTAAAGTTTACAAAGGTCTCCGAGAGGCATTTAAGGTTATTCATGTCATAATGGGTGAGCTTCATCACCTGATGTGCATGTAGAATCCTGTTCCCACTGTAATTGAGATTCAGGGATATCAGAAAACAGAACTCACCTCCAGCAAGTCACAGAATCACAGAGAATCACAGAATGGCCAGGGTTGGAAGGGACCTCAAGATTCTCCAATCCCACCCCCTGCCACTGGCAGGGCCACCAACTTCCACACGTAATACTAGACCAGGCTGCCCAGGGCAGGCCTTGAACACCTCCAGGGACGGAGCATCCTTTATTCCTCCAACACCTCCTGCCTTTCTAAGGCATCATCTACATACACAGGCTCTGTGTAAGCACACTGGGGCTGATGGTTAAATATGCCTGTATCAAACACCCAGAAGCTGGAAATTTTACATTGTAATTCCACAACTACTGATTAACTGGCCCAAATTCTTACCCGTTTTATTAGAAATTGCACATTATTGGGGCATCTCCTTTTGCATTACAGACTGTACTCCTAAATATTCTGTTCCAGCTTGCTTTCTTTAAAAAAGTTCTGGGCCGGGAGAGAAGTTGTAAATAACAAGAGGAAATATGGCAGCTCAGCAGCTGCACACAGAGACAGCCAAATCAAGGCAAAATTGCACGATTCAAGCGTTCGTTCAAGTGTTCACACTTAGACAGAGGCAAAGAGAAGTGGGCCATACCTCCTTCACACTGGAGCTGTCGCTGAATTTAGGAGACGCTTTTCACATGATTAAATCAGCACCTCCGCGCACGGTGACTGCAACGTGTAAGGAGGCGGCTGTGCTAGAAAAGAGACGCTTTTCCCCCTTTTCCGCCGCGGGGCTCCGCGCTGCCTGAGCCGCGGCCGCCACCTGCTGCCCTGCCGCCGCGCTGCAGCCACCCGCCCTGCCCTGGCCGGCCGAGGGGCGGCCGCCAGCCCCAGCTCCCCGCCCGCGCTGAGGCAGGCGCGGCCGCCATGTCGGGCGGTGCCCCCAGCGTGCGTGTGGCGTGCGGGCACGGGCGGTGGCGGCGGGCTGCTCTGAGGGGCCCTGGTGGGCGGGAAACGGCCTGAGGAGCGGGCGGATTTTTATGAGAGGGGAATGTGTTTGTTCAAGCACAAGTTGCAGTCAAGGAGAGGCGAGGACCGGGGTTCTCTGTCTTCAGTGGCAGACAAGGGTTTAACAGGGACAAGCATGGCCATTGAGAAGGAACATCACTCACCACCGCCCAGAAACCTGAGGGAGGCAGGTGCTGCTGCCATGTTGAGGTGCTCAGGCTGTGCCATGCTCCAGGCTCAGACCCCTTCCTGAGCTCCCCAGCCACCCCTCTCCTCTGCTCTATGCTCTGTGTGCTGCAGCCCCCAGCACACGTCCCCTTGCTGTCCCAGCAGTCCCTGTCTGTCTGCCCATCTGCAGCCTCAGCAGAGCGTGTCCTACCTATCTCTGTGCTCTCACTGCCATCCATGAGGGCCAGCTTCCCCTGTCCTGGCTTGGCCTTTCAGGTGCAGCAAGGGGCCTGGCAAAGCCCAGTGGATAGGATCTGCATGGCATAAAGGAGCACAGAATTGCAGCCGTGCAGCGGAGGGATGTGATCTTGGAGCTCAGGAGTGCTCTGGTGCTGGGTAGCCTGTGGTCTCCTGCCCGTCAGTCTGGCATTTTCATAGCAAATCCCATGAAAGGTTGAGCCAGCTGAAGCAAAGCAAAATCTTGCTCTGGTATTTGTCAGCTGATTTTAGCTTGTGAATTAAGCCCGCAAGTGAGAGACTCTCCTGAGGGTCTTTGAGCAAGAAATGCCTGATACAAGGCAAATAGTGCTAACATATGGTTAGGAGTAACTGGCATATGCCCAGAATCCCTGCCACATTCTTTTTTCACCTACCCTTACCTTTCTTACTGTTCATTCCACTTTGCTTTGCTTGTTAAGTGTTACTGATGTTCATTTCACAGACAAATCCCAGACTGATGTAAATCACACCACATCACTGCAGTGCCCTCTCACATCCTTTCTCTTTAAACAGTGTAGCCACAAAGTGCTGTCTGGCATTTCCAAATAGACGTCAGTCCTCTTGAGATGGGGATTTACTTCTCCACTTTTTGGCATACTAAGTCAATGACAGATAATGACTGTCGCAGCAATCAAACAGTACGCATAGGTTGTAATGATTCAGTGACTTTGAGCCAGAGCATGGGAAGAGGCAAGTTGAGGACTGAAGTTTTACTCACCGAGGATCTTCCTTGGAAATGAAGTAGAAGGATTTAAATGGTTTTGCCTATCACTGCTTTGTTCATAACAACAACAGCTAGGGTACAGTCCTGTGGGTTTTAGAAAAATGAAATAAGGCTTAGCAGAATTCTTCCTTGGTTAGAAAATATTTATTCCTCTGTATCTGCATTGATTACCTTTAGGTATGAACAGCAACGCCACTCTTATCCTTCAAATGTTCGTTCTAGTCAATAGCAAAATTAATTTGTATACCAACAAATCACAGCTATCCAGGAGAGCAATGAGCTCAGTATATAATAGAGATGAGAGTTTTGGCAAAAGGGAGAGCGTAGAAACAGCCCTGCTTATAAGAATTATTGATAAAAGAATTATATCTTTATAGAATCCAATTCTGTATCTTGAAGCATTTTATACACTTAGTCTTCAGTGAAAGCAGCAACCATCTGAATGACTGCTGTTTGGTGAAGAAAATTGATTTTAAAATACCTTATTTCGTTCACGATTTTAATTAATTAATTTATTTATTTATTCATTCATTCATTTGGTACTAAAGTAGCACCCAGAGTCTGTAGCGCAGATGCAGGCTCCTCTGTGGTAAGCACTGGGTAAACCCGCACCAAAGGACTGTGGCCCTTTACAGCCATCACCCAGGATCTGGTTTCTAAAGCACACAGCTCAAAGAGATGTATGTATTTATATATTATCGAATGATTGCTCTAAAGCTGATGCCTGAGATAAAAGCATCTGTATTTAGTCTCAGTAGGCTCTCAAGCACCAAAAAGCACCTTAAGCAAGCTCAGTAACCACACATAGAAGGCTGATTCGCTTAAAATCCAAATCCAGCCTTGAGCTGCTAGTGTTACAGGCGCAATGAATCTGAGCAGCTCACAGTAGGAAAAGAATTGTTATAGAGGGTATATAGAGGGTATGGGAAAGGTGTATAGAGGGTATGGGAAAGGTGTATAGAGGGTATGGGAAAGGTGACGTGCCATGCACATGCCAGACATGCCTTTCAGACTCTGCCTGTACTAACTGAAAGTTGGGAGGAAACAAGGAAATGCTGGCAGTTTGCAGGGGTGGGATAGGTTCCCAATACCTTACCTGACTGAATTTAAGAAACAGGCTGGTATGGCAAACACTCACTGGTTCTTCTCCAGTGGTGCAGTGAGCAGGCAACTTTCCCTCCCGGCGGGCAGCATCTGCTGAGTGATGTGGAGCACAGGAGCTGCAGAAGGGAGGAACAACTAAAGAGCCAGTACCACAAGAGGCACAAAGAAAGATGCATTGGGACTCTCACAATCCAGATGACTTTACACCATTTTGAAGTAGGTAAGTTGGACACAGAAGTGGTAGGAAAAAAAGTTTTATTCTCCTGATATAGTGCATGTGGAATTGCCAATGCAGGAAAATAAGATGTTGAGAAACAACATTACCACCAATCACAAATGTGACATTGCCAAATTTTTGGCTGCTCTAAACCAGCACAGCTACCCTGAGTTACATAAACCAGCAGCTGGGTCAGGAACTAAACCTTAAATCAGAGAAACCGGAAAATTCTGGGAATGCAGACATTTCATCGTGCCTCACGCCATCCGTCTTTTGTTAAACTTTTTTTTTTTTTTTTTTTTTTTTTTTTTTTTTTTTTTCACATTTGCCCAGAAAACATGCCAGCGTGTCTTTCACAGCACTCCGATGAAGAAAATTCAAGCTGCTCTGCCTGATATTAAAAGAAGTAGCTTTTGGTAGTATTTGGATGCTGTCCAATTGCTAAACTGTAAAGTGCAGTACGTAGCACAAGCACAGCTTGAAGGGTAAGCAGCAAAAGACAGATGAAAATGAAAGTTATCAACAGGAATAAAAGAACATGCAAGCAGAAAGCAGCAGGAGAAATACACAGTGTCTGAGAATGGAGAGAAATGCTTTAACGTGCTTTAACAGTGGTATTAGTGATTTAAACACAACCACACAATGCAGTTCAGTATTAGCACCATGATGAACTGGAAGTGGAAGAACGAGCTTTGGAGTGAATAGAAGCATAGCATGTGGCCAAATGTGTGATGATGTGCAAATTGAGAGTCTCCTCACCTGAAACATGTTAGATGCTGAAGAACAATGCTAGCCACTTAGTCGAGTGATGAAATCAAAGTTGCAACATGTAAGATTAATGTATATTAGAGGAAATAGCTTCTCATGCTGTTAGAAGGATCATGGTCTGGTTATAAAGCCCTCAGTGGTGCAATCTCCAAGTATTTATCATTCCAACACATCCAATTAACAAAATCGTATTCAAGTGTTAGTAATTAAGTGCAGGATATTAACCTTAAGCTTTGAATTTCCCCAGATATTGTCAGTTTGAATCTGACTCTTGGCATTATGATAGCGTGTTTTCACTTGTAAAAGGAATGATAAGGTCCTAGGAATATCACATCAGCCTTCATAATGAGGGAACCGTAAAAACAGGGCTGGAAGGGACCTTGCGAGGTCACCTAGTCCAGCCCTCTGCCCTAAGGCAAGATCAATTATACCCAAATCATTTCTGACAGATGTTTGTCTAACCTGTTCATAAAAACGTCTAGCAATGAAGATCCCACAACCTCCCCAGGCAATCCATTTCACTCCTTCACTCCAGTTACAGCTGGAAAGCCTGTCCTAATGTCTTCCTTAAATTCTCCTTTGCTGCCATTTAAATCCATTAGCTCTTTTTCTATTCCCAGTGGACACAGAGAACAGTTTATTACTTTCCTCTTTGCAGCAAGCTTTACATATCTGTGTCACATTCTTACTCCTTCCTCGGCATCTCCTTTTTCTAGATGTAGAAACCCAGTTCTTTCAGTCTATCCCCACAAATCATGTTTTCCATGCTTGTGATCAATGCCATTACTTTCTGTTGGGCATTCAAATTGATGTACATCTTTCATTTTTCAAGTACAGTGTACAGAAGTGCACACATTACTCCAGCTAGGGTCTGGAGCAAAGAATAACCAGGGTAGGATTGCTTCATTTTTCTTCTCCGTGACAAGTCATTTACAGAGCCAAGTCACAAGTCACAATCTGGATGAAATGGGAACTGTATCTTCTCAGCTCCAGCTTGGCTTGTTGTCTGGAAAGAAAGTTCCATCTCTATTTATCTTATACAATCTTGAAACATTTTACAAGGGACCAAGTATTTTTATTTTCTGCTCTAGAGGCTGATGAATGTCACCTTCCTCCATTTTTTATTTTTATGATATTTACACTAATTTGGCATGATTAAAATTTAATACTGGAATACTCACTAGCTTAAAGGAGCAAGTCTTCTAATTCCCATCAAACTTGAATGCACAAACTCCACAGGTGCCTTTGAAAATCCCTGCTCTGAATGTTGTTGTCCATTGGATAAACAACTCAGACATCATTGGCTTTCTACACAAACGCAGCCTGCCTGGAATAACTTATGAAAATCATAAAATTGATTTAAGCTCTGTTCAGTGCTCCATAAATTTTATGCAGTCCTTAAATTATAAAACTGCTGCTGCTGTGGCACTGATCAGAACAATGCTTTATCTCTTCTCTAGGGATAGTTGGCATGTCAGAGGAGAACAGAGGAGACCGAGGCAGCTGAATTGTTTGTTTCTATTTAACAGGGCAGAATAAAACAGCCTGGATGCCAGGGCTCTAGTTCCACTGAGACTGACCGCATCAAGTTTTTATATATAATAGCTATTATAGTCTTCCTTTGCCTTTTCTTATTATTAAACCAGAAAATAGCTGTCGCTGATTTCACAAGGACACTTTTTTGCCTACATCATCAGATTTGTGGAGGACAACTACAAGGCACTTGAGATATTCCCCTTCTACTCTATAATCAGTTCCCATTCTCAGATATATGACAAGAAAATGCTGTGACTGTCCAATTGCACGCTGATGTAGAAATGCTGTAGAAGCCTTGTCAAGTAGCCTGTCCCACAGCCCAGAATTCTACCAGAAAAAAAGACAGGCTCTCTGCTTTTACCAAGCTTAGATTTCTTAGAAATATCTGTTTCTTTTCATCTCTACATTCATTGGCAGATTAGAAACATCATTTTTGGCACTGAATCTAAGACAAGGTAAGATAAAAGTCCTCATGTGGGGAAACTATGCTCGAACGGGCTCCCTACTCTTCGTCTTGGCCTACTCACATATTAAAACCGTAGACCTCAGGCTTTGTCCTGTGCTAGCAAACTGAGATTAAGAGTATCATTGCTTTTTTTTTTTTCTTTTTTCCTGAAGAAGTCTCATCTGCAGTAGCCCAGTTTTCAAAAGCAAATGCTCAGTGCATTTTATTAGAATCGCTCTTTTCAGTGTTTCAACCTGGGCATCCAAAGTCAGCAGCTGCTGGGAGTCTTTTTCTTAGCACTGTTGTTTTCCAGCTCTTTCCACTCTCCTGACAACGCTTCCTGGTCTGTCATTCAGTCAGTTGTCATTTTGAAGGGATGTGTTTTCAACCTTTCTATACTCACGCTTTTCTCCCACGTAACCCTGTGAGCCTCATTCTTCTTCATATGCTGTGTTTTTGCTCAGAGGTATACAAACCATCTGTGCCTCTAATACAATGTTCTTAAATAGCCTCCAGGCAGATCTCTATGGTTTTTAAGTATTTCTCTTTGCCCTTCAGCCTGCTGTTAACCATTTTCCTCGTAGTTTTATAATCTGCCCTTTTAAAGTTCGTCGTTGCTACGTTGTCCCTAAGGGACAGTTCTTTTTATGATATCAAAACTAAAAGTGTGCCATGATCACCATTACCCCATGGAGGCTTGATAACTTCCTCTTACAACTTCTGCCTATTACAAGGGAGCATCCTCTGGCCCATGGCCTTAACTAATCAGGTTTTGCACTAAGGATTGCCACAGGAGCCAGAGGGAAGGATTACTTTGCCAGCTGTACTGGAATGGCACCAAAACCATTTTACATCACCTGACAGAGAGAAAACTGCTTTTGCCAGCTGTTGCTTTACCCCCAACAAAAAACAAGAGGAAAAAGTGATGATGGGAAAAAAAAAATCATTCATAATTTTCCCTACTGCTCCCATCCATTTTCCTCAGGAAGAAGTTAAAGTTACTTCCCAGGGGCTTGCTCTAAGATTTTATAGGTTCTAAAAATCTTGAGGTCAGTTTACAGGAGCTTGCAGCCACCCATGTATCTCTTCTCCAGTTTTTACAGTTACCCTTGTGACTGCTGCCTCTGGAATAGTCTCAAGGAAGTGGGGCAGAAGAGCAAGTCTATGACATGGAAAATCTCTTTGCAGATTAACACTTCACTGCAGGAACAATGAGATGATGCTGACAAGGCAGCTGATAGACCAGTCTGTCAGGTAAATGGACGAAGGATTGATTTGTGGCATTTTGCCACAAGAAAGGGCTATAGGTTATTAACCAACTTCAATGGACAAATACTTGCTGAGACTGCATATCACACTTCTTGTGCTGTACCAAAGGTAATGACTCATCTTCAGGCATGCCTGATGTCCTTGAGAATGCAATTGGCTCTACACAGCCAAGTGAAGCATTACTTAGTTAATACACTACAGCACAAGGGAAACAATCAGCTGAAATGATGACATTGCTACTTCCTGCTTTGTTATAAATCTGAAGCTAAATACAGGCTGCTCGTGCTTAGTGCATGCAAAACACCGCCTTTGATCCTCCAGTGAGGATCCTCTTCCTGGAAAAGTACTGGACACAAAAACTATCATATAGAATTCTTACTCATCCCTTTCTGCTTAGGTCAATGAAATGAACTTTTGCAGTCCAACAGATCTGTTTTTAACTTTGAGTCAAGCTGGAGATATAGCCAACGATAACAACTCAGGGACTACTTGCCCATACATGCATTTTGTTGCTCACTCTGCCAGGTATCTTTGAAATTTCCTTTCTCAATAACGGAGCGTTCCTGATGATCCACCTTAATTCCTATCATTTACAAAAAGATCCTATTCCTTTCAAATAGGGATTTCCTTCCTTGATTGCAGACATCAGCGCTGCTCTGAAATAAGCACTTGGATGTCATCTGGAAAGGTGAGATGTTCTGTCAGCTTTGCAGTGTGACAAAGCTTCCTCTATAAACACCCATCACTACTGTGCAGTTATGCTATTGCAATTCATCAATAATTTTTGAGTCTTAATGAACTGGAACTTGTCAAAGATTGTATCAATAAAAGCTGTACACAATTCCCACACCAGTTAACAGGCCACATCTGACCAAGTTTCCAGTGCTGGGTAACAAACCCCAGCTATTTTCACCTTCCTCCTTCATAGCGCTTCTCTCACACTTGGCTGAAATGAAGCTCCATGAAGGAGGGGAAAAAAAAATTACTCTCTACATAAGGGAAAAAGGAGGGAAGAAAAAGGAAAAACAAAGCAGCAGCCAGAAGGATTGTCCATTGTAGTGGATAGCCCCATGCTCCATCTACTCACTTTGGCTTCCCCTTTACTAGAAAGTTCCCACAATTATTTTTTTCCATGACCCATTGCTTAAGGCAGGTGATTGCTTAAGACAGTTTCACATTTATTTCATAAATGAACAAGTAATTGTTCTCTTTAGTCACAGGTTCTGTGGGGTGCTGATGGCGTGTGTAATTTTCTTGATGTGTCACATAAAAACACAGCATTTTCACATGACTACTTGACTAAAATGCTTTTGTGCATCACTCACACCTCTTAATAAAATACATCCAATTAGTTATTGCTAGGTGAACTGGGAGTGAAATACAAAGGTCCCCTGGTCTGAGCACCACAAATCACAGTCATAATAAAGTAAAAAACCTGTGTTTCTGTATCCACCTTTCCTTACCCTGCTGCGCTGCCTGATGAACATGCTTTTCATTATATTATTTCCAAGCAAACCCAATTAATTTATTTGCATTCCAGACACCTGTCATGAAGTTGCAGGGCTAGGAGCATGATTAAGCAAAAGTACTGTACCCAGAATTTTAAAGTAATTCTCTTTTTACTGGATTTGAATCTAACAAGTCTTTCATTAATAACTTTTGTTTAAATGCTGACAGGATTCAAACAAGACCTCAATCTCTTTCTGAGTGTGCCAAATTGGCTCCGCATTTGGGAGGCTCTCCCAGATTTTAAGGTAAATGTAAATTCCTCTGATCTATGGCAGGCATTTTTCTCTTGATAACCACGTCTCCTGAACTGCCTTGCAGCAAAAGCAAAAAGCTTTCAGGCTCTGCAAGAAAGATGTAAGCAAGTGTGGCTTTGTGCTGATGACCAGAACTGGAAATGTTTAAGCAAGCATTAATCGGTTAATTCATCCCTTCATGAGTCTCAGCAAGTCAGAATATTTACTCAGTCATTTAAACATGCCCAAATATTCCTTCAGAATACTGTAATACCAATCTCATGGTTATATATATATGTGTGTGTGTGTATTTTAAATTGATTCAAACAGATGTTAAACATACAAAGTTAATGAAAAGATTAATCTCTGGGAACCTCTGATTCTCTATTCCTTCTTCCTGTATTTTTCTTCATTATATGCAAAATGTCCTCATGGGAATCTTCAGGATGTTACATGGCACATCTCTGGCAGCTGTAATATCAGACCCAAGCCACGTCAATACCTTAACATCCAGTTCTAGTTCTAATTTTAATCTTCTGGAAGGACAACATACTTATTCATTTTCAAAATCAAGCAAACTCACAATAAGTGTGAAGTGGCAGGCAGGCTCGCATCTGATCTTATGCTGTAAGAGGTTGTGATATATGAAGACAGGCAGCAATTACAAAAGACTTCACTATTGGATGACTCCAAAAATTCAGTGCATTTTTAATTTAAATATCCTTGGACCACTTTCAGAAAACATAATTTATTGTTTAATACCAAATTAACAAACTCAAAACAGCTGTTTCACACAGCAACTTCAAATCTGCTCCTCAATGAAGCTTTACAGCCCAAATAACTTCAAATGACCTGTCATGCAGCACAAGAACCGGTTTCATTGCTTCATACCCTGTAATTTCGCAGCAGTCTCAGTCTTCCTTACATATGGCTACATAACACACAATGTATTCAAGACATTTCAGACCAATCAGTCTTGTTTCTACCTCCTGGTGCTTCCCAATCCCATCAGCAGTTATTTAATTCTGGTACATCCCATAACATAAATAGTACAGGAATGGTCATTTTCAGTGCACCATACACGGTCAGTTGAAACATTTTAAAACAGCCATAGCATTTCTTGACTTAGCTTTTCTGTTTACAATTTCCTATTCAAACAAAATTAAAATACTTTTTCCACAGATTAAAGATGAAATGCTTTTCAAGAACAAACTGATGTCCCCCAAAATTACAAATACATATGTAGCTAAATAGACTGTACTTCCAAAAAAACACACCACCTTCACACATCAGAATAGTAACCAAAGTGTATGATTTCAAAGGGTTTAGGCATCTTTCTTTTGCACTAGTTGATACAATCACAATTTTTCATATCTTGCCAGCACAATTAATTCAAATTAATTTGATGCCTCTTGGACTGCATTCAGTGCAGACAGCATTAAGACTACATGATTTTAGAAACTGCAGGCTTGCTTACTGCAAGAGAGCTCACAAAGAGTTTATCTGACAAACCATACGTGCAAAATTTAGTGCAAGCTTTTGTTAACATACGAGGCAAAATACATCAATTTCTGTTCCACAGCAATGAAGTCTCTCTCTTTTGAATGTTAAGACAATAATAAGTAAAAAAAGTACACAACTCCCAATTAAGCCCAACTGATAGAGGGGAAACAAAATTCTACTAATGAAGGACATTTTAAAATGAACTGACTAAAAATACATTTAAGCTGGATATATACAGGTATATTTTGCTATTCATTTAGCTACTCATCTCAAATAGCTTTGACACATTTGTTTAAACTCTTTTTTAAAAATACAGATGTGAGATACTATTCCTGCAGTTCCATCTGAACTGAGAAGTCTGAGCTCAGTTTTGCTCATGCCATGTTTCTCTAGATGAACGATAACAAAGTAAGAAAAGATTCAAATATCATGTTTAAATTTCTAAGAAAATCCACACTCTTCTTCTAATCCCAAAAAGGATAACTAAACATATACAGCTCCTAATCATCATTTTCCTCATCATCAAATGAGAGAAGACTGCTGTTTTTCACTTGCTTGGCTGTACTTTGAGAAGTAGTTGCTTCTCTGTCAGTTTTCTTTTTCATCTTCTTACTTGAACTTACATTGAAGTCCAAAACCTTCTCTGATGAACGTTTGGCTGGCTTTCTGAACATAATTTTTCCATCAGCAGATTCTGATTCACCATCTATAATGAATGGAATAAAATGAGAACTCAACTTCACACAACCATACAGAACTTCACTACTGTCTTCTCCCCAAAACCAAGACTAGTGAAACCTCTGCTAGAATAAAACAAACATGAATATGTAGAGTTTTTTTTGACTACACAGTCTCCATCAGTGAATGCCCTCGAGGCACACAGATCTGTTCCATGACAACCAGCCCCTGAAGACAGTTCTCCTCCTGTTGTTCCGAGTAAGAAACTAACCAGAGCTTTAACTGCAATGACTGTGAGCAGTAAAGCTTCTCCCACACAATCCAGCCTCATCCATGTACCAAAATGGAGGGGACAACTTTATATGATCCTCAGTTCTCAGTTTGTAAAATCCATGGCAATGTACCTGTTTTAAAATTTTAGTAGCTCTTTAAAGAACACATGTAAGGGACAGAGCTTTTCTTTTACTCTAATGTGCCATGCCTTGGAAAGAAATAACTGTTTCTTCTTCTCTGCATGTACTGCAAATAGTTAAAAACCAAATCCCTTATATTCTGAAGACCCTTTTAAAGAAGAAACCTATTGTAAAAACCTGAGCACCAATTCTGTCAATGACTCCTACATTAAGTACACTTTTCCAGTAGTTTGTGAAAGAACACCACTATGCAGAGAACAGCTAGCTATGTTTTTTGACAACATTTCAGTACTGGCACATTAGAAAAGCATTACGCTCACACATAATAACCAACAAAAATAAACTGTGCATATGATAAGCTTATTCGTCAATTGATCCTCTGTGATATCTGCATGGAAAGCTAAGTATTTACATGTTGTACATTTGATTTGTAAGTTCATGAAATGCTAACAATAAATTCTGGGAGACAAAAATGACTAATTGTGAAAACATACCACACCACATATCGCTTTTCTCAGAAGCTGGGCTAAGAAGTCAAGACTCAAAATGTATATACATATTTTTTTTCCACATAACTGCTTCTATTTTAACTCTTGGCCTGGTAAAACAATGTTAAAATTTCAGTATGTGCTCAAGGACGTTCCGTTCAGCAGGAAGCCCAGGACAACTTCAGAGAGCTGTGATGTGTCAGCAGTGCTTGACAAAGAATCAATCAGATGACAAAACACAGCAGGCGCAGGCTTACCTAAGCAAACTGTAAGAAGAACAGAATATACTGTTTTGAAAGACTCTGAGGTAGCAGCTCAAGAGATCTGTGTTGACTTGTTAGGATTGTCTTTCCCAGATTCACTTCACTTCATCCCTTCTGATTTTACCAGACTGTTACAACATGTCAGCTGTCTTTTTTGTTTATAGTGATGACCCTCAGAAATAGAGATGTGTTCAGCAATGCAAAGAAGAGGTTAAAATAGCAATCTCAGTGTTGGTAGTTTCTTAAAACGGAGTCCTGACAAAAGACTGTAACAGTATTACAGACAGCAGGATTTCTGATAAATCCACTGAAACACAAAAAGTAAAAGACAAGCAATGTAAAAGCACAACAGGAGAAATAATAAAATCCACTTCTTACAAGGAAAGAGGCAGAAAAGTACCACTAGTAGTTCAGTTGTGACCGTGCTGAGTCACTGCTGCTTTTACATCTGTCACAAACCTTCATGCTGGCATTTTCAGACATGGAGCTGAAAACCCACTTCACCAATGACATCAATGTACAAAGCCACAAATTCAGAGAACTTTCTCCTATTAATTACAGTTTATATCTTACAAGAGGAGTAGAGAAGTAGAGAGTATCTGAAAAGAAATACTGCTCTTCTGTTTATTTTTTATGTAGCAGTCATTTGCATAGCTAGCAGCACAGCTTTTCAGCAGTCAGCTTCTGTCCACATAGGTTTATTAGGCTGTAGGAGAAAACAAATGCCAATAAATTGGAAGGACAGGAGGAGCAGTATGAACAATATTTCAAGACACACATCTATTCAATGACAAGGGTTGGAAAAAATTTATGGCAACCTACTGAATTTCTTTATGTTTCTATGTTTATAAGTTCAGGTCAACAATTTCCACTGTTCTTTCTAGTGCTTTCTAGTCACCCCCCTCTATGCATTGGGAGCTTTTACTAAAGGAACTCCACATACCGCTGTCATGAAGATGAGATGACCAGCCTTTTCTCAGATATTCAGACTCATATGTTTATGAGAGAAAAATAAAACCATAGAGAATGCTTTTGTTATTTAAGAATTGTAAGATGAACTCTGATTTAGATTCCTCCTGTTTACACGTCGAAGAGCAGCACGAACCCTAAATGTGATTTAATGGCTGTGAAAGCTTAAAGGGCCTGATACTCAAGACAGCATTGCCTGTAATCTCTTTGCCTCTCCTCTTTTCCTCCCCTAGCCCTAATGTGTAGAATGCAACAGGAATAATGTCAGAAGAGTAGGGACACCTGCCAAATTTGGTCACCTGCAGAGCACCCCAGAGACAAGATGAACTAAAAAATCCATAGAAAAATTTTGGAGAGTATAAAAAAAGCTGGGAGAAAGTATTTATGTACCATTAATTACTATCTTTCGTGCAAACTTAATTTCTCATAAGGCCATTTTTATCTATGAACTGCTAGTAACCATTTATAAAATGCTGCACAAAAACTTTAAACAAAATGACTGATGTTAAACAGAGGCCTTCTTTCTAAGCTTCTAAGCTAGCCCTCCACTCATAAAATATTTCAATATGGAAGAACTTTTTTCCTCATACAGCAAAGTTTAAGCCTTAAAACTAAAAATGTGCTCTATGACTGAATTTGCAAAAGCCAAAAAATTGTGCTTTGCCTCAGGAGGCAGCTTAGTGCAGCTAGGATCAACTTACTGATCAACTTGCTTGTTTTTGCCAAATTAATGCAAAAGTGTCGTTCATCTTTTAAAGAAAGCACAAGCCAGAAGAATTTGGTGTCTAAGATTTAACACACACACACAAAAAGTGACTCCATGTCAACCTGATTGTAGAACAAAATGAAGCAGAAAGGATGCAAATGAAAAACAAAAACTCCTAGAGTAATATTCTAAGCCAAAGCCTGAATGCAAGAACTTTCAAATGAAGGCAATCCCTCAGATTTATAAAAGAGGAGAGGGCAAAACCTCAAAACAAAATACTTGCAATTTTTTTGAAAAGCTGACAGTTTTTATTCACAATGGATAGTCAGCAGTCTATTACTTATGACCTACCGAGGCACTTTGGCATTGATGTCAACATGGTGGGAGGAAAAACTATCAGTTCTGAAATGTGTTTCCCTGCTACTCTTTCAGTTTTTGCATAATTTCACTGCTGAGTAATTTGGGGCTACACATTATGGTGTGGTATCTGTTACATTCATTTCACTTTCTACGCTGAGATAAAAGAAATGTGAAATTTAATTGAATCATGCAATGTCAAGCCTTCATTATACCCCCAATTTATACAAGTGACAATTACCAAAAAAGAACTGAAACTAACGCATTATTCAGAATTCTCTTTATTAAACTGGAAGCAACAAGCTGCCTGAATACCTGCCTCAGACTATAAAGCTGAAATGAAACCTTTAAATTTAAATTTAAATCTCCCTACTGACATGGCAAAGATGGACAAAGAAGAAGCCTTCAGCAACTTGCAGCACCAGATCTTCACTGACAGTTTCACACTCAGTCCTCCATATAGCAGAGGCACATACATACGAACACATTTAACCTGGGTATTCCCATAAGAACAAGAAGCAAAAGCAAGACCTCAGAGTAACAGCAAAGGCAGATGAGCAAACAGTAGCACTATCGTGCAGAACAAAGGGCAGCACTACCCACCCTACAGCATTTTAAAAGTCCTGCTACCTGCCACTGCAGATTTTTTCCCTCAAGTGCATGTTATCTCTCGGTGAATGAAGGAGCAAAAGCAGAGGTCATAAAGTCCTGAAAGGACTCAACACTACTATCCTTACTACACAGATTTATATTGTGTCTTAGGAATGCCTTTTTCCACCAGAGACATTCAGTGACTGTTCAAATACACTTTTGTTTTCACACTGGGTATTCATCTTAGTATATCGGCTGTTTCTGAACTCTTTCACAGCATGGACTCCACCTCAATAGATTCTCATGGACAACTAGTACTTTTTGCCTAGCTTTACAAAATCATTTTTCCTCCTACTGTGACTGTTCGAGAATCAACTTGCTTACATGAAAAAGAAACCAACACTCCAAAAGAATGCCATTTCTTTCCAGTCGGTTGAAATTTCTAGCAGCACTAGGATGACAGTACAACTTTTGAAAAGAAATCATGCAACAGCTATACGAACTGCAACACCAATTAACTGCCATAACAACATTAGCAAGAGTTTTTCCACTCAAACTTCTGAAAAGAAATCATGCAACAGCTATATGAACTGCAACACCAATTAACTGCCATAACAACATTAGCAAGAGTTTTTCCACTCACTCTATTAAGAATGTAAAGCTGTAAACAGATTTTCCAAAGAGATTGAACAATACAATGAAATCATCAATTCCCCATCGAAAAACAAGGCCTTCATTTTTAGTTGAAATGCTGCATTTCACTCTTCTCACTGGTCTGTCATCCACCTAAGACAAAGCTTTGCCATACTAGCTGTAGACAGTATTTTCTTGCATCAGTTATTGAACATACTGTCCCCTCTTCCCAGGTTCTAGATAGTTTATTATTTCCAGAAGAGGTAAGCAATGAAACAAAGACCAGATTTTTTATTTTACTGGCTTTTAAGCAATGTAAAAGCAAAACTTTATCTGGGTGGTTTTGTTTTCAGTGAAATAGTCTAAATTTTCAAAGCAAAATAACTGGAAGGGTAGTTGAAATATTTTTCTGTATTCACATAAATACATAATGGTGTAGAAGATGCATAAAGAACAGCAGAAATAATGAAGTCTGATTTATTGCAGTTTGATTCTAGATCGCAAATCTGCTTTGGAGATCATGGCTCCCTTTCATGTCACTCCCTATATTCTTGAAAACCTTCTGTTCATCTCCTCTCTTTCACATCTCAAGTCAAACCACAGCACTCCTACTTGTCTTCCATGTGCCCTGACTACTAGTTGTGCAAGTCACAATGCATACTGAGGATGATTTCAATGAAGTAGTGATGTGGAGCAGTCAGTTAAGTCATCAGGGAACTGAGTTTACAAACCTGTCATTCTCTTCTCTGAGGCACTAATTTCAGTTTCCTCCTTCTAGGTATATACTATTTTACAAACTCCTAAGATTACCTTTAATATCCCCACCATCAAACAGAGTTAATTAACTGATTAATGAGTTCAGAAGTTATCACAGGCGATGTCAAGAAGATACAGCAGGCTAATGACACTCCATTTGCCTACCCCCCAATTATTATTAATAATAAATTAAAGTGGTGCTTTAGAAGTAGAATGATGCACTATCAAGAAAAACAGAACTTCAACAGTACAGAGACAGACATCTTGGACGTTACTTCAGATTGGGAATCAAAGGTAATATTAAATGATAGAAAACAAGCAAGGATCATCAAGCTCCCTTTTATGACTCTCTTGCTTTGGCTATACAAAGCAAAAAATTAGTAGTTTTAAATTCACCTTGTTCACTTGACTTCAAGGCCTCTTTGATTTGCTGTTTAATTTTCATTGCTTCTTCAGCAGTCAAGTCCCCTTTTTTCAGCGTTACCACTTGAGGCTGCTCATCTTCATTATCACTGCCATTATCAGAATCACTGTCCGCAAGTGGAAGCTGCTCTCTCTAGAAGAAACAAAAGCAATTCTGATCAATTGGTACAACAGCAGGCAGTAGTTTTGGTTTCACTTCTGCAGCAATGTTGGTGAGGAGCCATGGCACAGCCCACAGCACCAGGCTCTCCCAGTGCACTTTACCTGAATGACACACATCTACTGTTGCATCCTTCAGCAAAAGTCACAGAATCACAGAATGGCCAGGGTTGGAAGGGACCTCAAGAATCATGAATCTCCAACCCCCCTGCCACATGCAGGGCCACCAACCTCCCCATTTAATACTAGACCAGGCTGCCCAGGGCCCATCCAACCTGGCCTTGAACACCTCCAGGGACGGGACAGTCTGCATTACTGCAGCCCATGGCATGCATTCCCAGTACAACAGGGACAAACATACACACACACACACACACATATATATATATATAAAGATTTTTAAGATATATATATATATTTTAAGATTTGCTCATATTTGGCCACTAAAACAGGCTCATAGGACTCATTGCAACTCTTTGGACAACACTCAACTCTGTCATGGAGACAGTGTCCCACAGAAAGAAAACAGAAAGCACACACAGACCCTATGGCCTCTACTCTAGCATATGTGTCAGCTGATCAGGCATTAAGACCATTTTAACCCTTGGCATATATAATTTTTATTACACTCTTAAAACATTTCTTCCCCCTAACCCCGGCCCTATTAGAACAGTTAAACTTGGAGCATTTCTCCATCCCTCTGGGGATGCCAAGAGGTGAAACAACTGCTCTGTGACAGGGCACCAGGGCTGCAATTACTAAATGACAATGAGATGGGGCAGTGTTTTTTTATTTTCATCTTCGCCAGAAGAACAAGTCCCCTAGGCAGCCCCAGCCCACAGCAAGCGGGCAGCTACCAGCACCCCAGCCCTTCCAAGGCTCATCCCCCGCCTCCCAGCGGGTTTCGTCCCCTTCCTACCCCCCCTGAGGGGAAGGGAAGCAGGGCAGCGGTGCGCGGGGCCGAGGAGGGACACGCTGCCGAGCAAGGACCTCTCCTCAGGAAGGCCGTTACCTTGGTTTCCACCGTGGGCCCCTCCCGATACCCGACCTGCCGCTTAAAGCGGCTGAGGAAAGCGGGCTCGGCCGGCCGCACGTAGGAGACCTGGTTCCTTTTGCTCATGGCCGCTGCCCCCAGCTCAGCCACAAGCGGCCAGCTGCCCGCTTCCGGTAGCGAAGGACGGCAGCCTGAGCGGGACAGCCAGAACGATTCCTGCTTCCGCCTTGCTGCTGATATCCTCATCACGTGACGAGGGCAGGCATGCTTCCAGCCAATAGGAAGAGAGAAGCCAGACTAGGGGCAAGAATTGTGCAATGAAATGGCCGCGCCCTTCTTGGCCTCATGTTGGGGGCGGGGTTGTGCCGCTTTCGGCTCTTAGCGCCAAATTCAAACACGCCGCCATTTTGGAGGAACTGTGGGCGGGTGGGGGGCCGTAGGGCCGGCGTGGATTATGGCTCCCGGCACGAGAGGTGAGGGGACGAGGGGGCGATCGGAGTGCGCGGTGAGAAGGCTGGGGGTGCGCGGTGAGAGGGGTGGGGGAGTACATCAGTGCCGCTGTCACTACATGGGGACTCTGCAGGGACTGGGGCCGCCGCACTGAGCGGGCTGCGGTGCGTGGCGGTGGGACGGGACGGGACTGTTGTTCTTAAACGTTAGTTTTTTTATTTTGATTTTTATTTTTTTATTTTTATTTTTATCTTGACTATTTTCTGTGTATTTTTTTCACCTTTTCGTAGATTTACGTGATCCTGCAGTGTCTTTGCTGAACTCACCTAGGTAAAGTATTGGCTGCTTCCTGTATGCAAAACTTTCCTGTAGGAAAAAGTGCAAATAGTGTAATTGTACAAAATAATGTGAAGTTTTTCACCCAGTGTTTTTCCCACACAGGACTGCCTATCTCTCTCAACTTCCTTTGTGATTTAAAAATAAAATCTCTTCATCCAAGCGCTGTTTTGAGGCATCGGATTTCTTAGAATGTTGTCATAATTCTTTGGTGTAGGCTGGCTTCTATGAGCGAGTCCCAAGCTAAAAGAAAGACACATAAAGCCCTCCAAATATACACGATTGCCCCAACTCAAAATATTACATACTGACAAAATATTTAGCAAGTTAGTGAGATGTCTCAAATCCAGTTTCAGGTCTTCCCTTTCTCAGCTGCTGCTTCTTCCCCTTTTAGCCTTTTCATTTGTTGCTCCCCAACTCACATTTCACTCATGAAGTATACTTCTAAAATTGTTCTTTTCCTTTCTCTTGTATTGCCAAAAGTAAAAACCAATGCCAGTTATAATACTATCTTGCTCTAACTGATTGATGTGAAAGAATAAAGTAAATACAAGCTTGCTGTCGTTTCATGGAGGAATTAAATTATTTAAGAATTCAGTTGGTATAAATATTTTTATTGATATTTATACTAGAATGTGATAAAGCATTAATATAATTCATACACAGTTGGAGTTTGGTTGCTCCAAAAGTAATGCCTCTTATTTTCATGGAAACTGCGACGTCTACGAAGAGTGCAATAACTGTTTGATGGAGTAAATTCTCAGCTACAAAATGCTGGTTTTCAACACAGTCATTATTTTTATTTATGCATTCTCACCAGCAACAAACGAACCTGTGTACTGCACTCATAGAAGTCTGCAGCAGAGGAGGTGACCTGCTATTGCCACTGCTGAACCACACCACCCGCTGCCTCACCAAATGTCAACTGGGGCAATTTTTTCCACATGGAGGAATTTATTGACACCCCTTCACCTCATCTGCACTTCTGTGTCAGATGCCATTCTGTCAGACTGCGCCTCCATGTCCTTCTGTCACACAGCAACAAAATGCAACAGGATATTGGTGGGAAGGTTCAGCCTCTGCCATACTGCCAACATCTGCATCAGATGTCATGTGCCAAAATAACAAAATAGGAGGCATTACTTTAAAGCATTCAAGCTGAGTTTTGAACAAACTGTTCAACAAAGAACAAACTGTTGTATCCACTGATTAATGTGGTGAAATGGGTCAGGGAACTTTTGATTTTAGGAGTGCTGTCCTTGATCAGATTCATCGATTGAGAATTGATTATTTTTTCACTTCCTGTGAAAAGCAAAGAAAATGCAAGATTTCTTGCTGCAATATAGCATTTTGTGTTCCACTTGTTAAATCTTTCTCTTAAGTTCCTGTAATAAAGAGGATACTTGAAACCTACAGCCTTAGAAATTACTGAAGCCCCATTATAACCGCAGTGGCCTGTCTGCTCTCTCTTCCTCCCCTCTCTTTGTACTTCAAATTCACTGTGAAATGTGAACAACAAATTCCACCAGCTTTTTGTTCTTTTTTAATCTGCCACATTGTAAGCTTTTATACTGTGTCTTATAATGAACTCACGTGTACAGCTACAAGGTCTGTAATTTGAGGAAATATGTTTGTATGATTTCATATGCTTAATCTGATTTTTGCAGTGTAAGTCTAACAAACAGCTGATAGATGTATTTCAAAGAAATCTAATGCATAAATATTCATTCAGCGTTGAAGGGGATGCTATCAAGGTTTACGTAAGAGTACGTCCCCCTTCAGAGGGAACTGCATTAACTGATGGAGATCAAGGCTTGTGTTTATCTGTTCTTTCATCAAACACCATCCGTCTGCATTCGAAGCCTGAGCCGAAGATCTTCACTTTTGATTATGTTGCAAATATGGAAACAACACAGGTAATAACTGAATAACTTACAGAAATTTGTAGCTGTAGTGCAGGTTTTCCCCAGATTTTGGCAACTGCTGTGTTAAACCTTTCTAAAGACGTCATTCCTTTGGTCATATTTTTTGGGGTCTTGTTTTTTGCTGTGCTCTATTTGTTAATATGTGGCTGTAGTTCAGAGATATTGCCCTTAATTCCACTTTTGAATAGTTTTTATGTATTTTTAAGCACCACTAATTTGTTTAATCAAAGCTTGCGTTAGAATTAAAGCTCCTGTTTGTAAACATAACAGTAATAGCATGAACAGAAAATAACGCCCTGTTGAGATAATCACACAAAAATGGATGGTAGCCAATAGCCGATGTGATTCGTATGTTAGAAGTTTATGACCCTATTACAGTTATATTTCCTTTTATATCTGCTTTTTAACAGATATGTTGTTCAGAAATTTTCACTGCTTAATGTTCTTATGCCCTTGGAAAAGGTAATACCAGAAGGAAAATGCTCCAATTTAATCTTCACAGTATTGCATTCTTGAAGTTCTGAACATCATTTTCATTTAACATCAAATGCACCACACTTCCATTTGCAAGGTCTTAAGGAAGTCTTTCCTTCCTACAATATGATCTTAATGGGAAAACCTAAAAGTAATCTATCTGAGTTGTTTCTGCAATGTCCTTACAAATGGTGATTAATTTCTTAGTTTCATAAAGCATTGGTTGTATAAGGAGTAAGAGTGAGGTCTTTTTAATAGTGCTGACTTGAAGTGTATTCTAATAAAGGAGCAGTGTCATCCTTCAAGTGTCATCTCTGTTTTATATGAAGAAATGAACTGCTTGTGACAGCATCCTGTCATCCATCTTCATGCAGAACTCTGCACAGAAGTTGTGAAGTTCTTAATAAATGTCATAATAAGAACCCATAATATATACATCTCATTTAGCATCTCTAAAAGAAAACGAGGTGCTCAGCTATCATTTGCAGCGAGGCTTTTCTTGCATGTCTAGGAAATGCCTGAAAATGGAAGCTGAGTGGCTGTGCACGTTTGCCCAGTATGCCATTGTACCATGGCAAATGTGGAAAGCTGACCAGTTTTGCTGATTGTCATAGTTTCAATTTTGCTATAAACCACATAATAATTATAATGAACACTGGACCAAAATTAACACTATACATAATAAAAATTTTGAAACCATATTGTGGTGAATTTTACTCAGTTTTTTCACAGTGTTCTATGTCACAAAGGCTCTCCATGTCCTATGACTTTTTTTGCTGTGAGAGACCTCCGAGGGTCGTGATAACCTGTCTGACCCTGAATAATGCAATTATTTTATACGTTATATTGTTATCACACAGAACAGGCTGATAGAAAAGATACTTAAACTGCTGCAGCCAAGTGTCTTCTCTTTCCTTTGTCCCCAGGAGTCAGTGTTCTCAAGTGTGGCCAAAAGTATTGTTGAATCATGTATGAATGGCTACAATGGAACCATCTTTGCATAGTAAGTCATTTAATGGTTTAATTTCATAGAAATTACACTATTTGAGGAGAGTTTGTTAATGACTAATAGTGGTTTTAATTTCCTGAGTCTGCTTAATGTTAGGGTAAGCTCTGAAAATGCTTCCTTAGTTCAGAACAATGAAGAAAATGTTCTTGCACTATTGAAGTATACTTCTTGTTTCAGCTTTCAAAGTGTTTTCAGAGGAAAACTATATCCAAGATAAGTAGCATTAATATCACCATATTAACGGAAAATATTTTCTCACTTTGAAAACGGAGTGGGCACTTCTGTTAAAAATACTAAGTTGGAGGGCTGATCTTATGGAAGTGTTACTGTTTGTTTAGTTTTAGTCTGGAAAAGCTTTTGCAAAACTGAACTCGACTTTGGAAAAATCAAGTGGAATTGCTGTGAAACTTCTCTAGCATTATTAATAACTAAGGATAATATGAGGAAATATCCAACTTGCAAGGATTTTAATGGTTAGTTTATGTATGCTACTGAGGGACATTAAACTCATTTTTTTGGTGCAGTCTTCTGGGATTTTATGTGTCCATTTGAAAGATTTTATTTTAATGCTGAGTTCCACTATTCCCTTCCCAACAGAAATGCAAAAGAAAAGGGGGGTGGGAGGAGCAAAGAGGGCTGTGAAAAAGTAATTTATCTAACGTGGTCAAAATTCACTCTTCTATTTTCATATATTCTCAGCTTCCCTCTGTTTTTTTAATCTTCTGTTTCTTACATTTGAAACTGTCAGTTTTCTTTAAAAGATACAGATTAATTTAAAAATCAGAGCTGGGATAAATCTTTGTTGTCTTTGTTGTCTTACTACTACTTTTTGGGGTTTTTTTTAGTGGCCAGACTGGATCAGGAAAAACTTTTACTATGATGGGTGAGTGCATTAAGACAGCTTTATCTTACATTGATCTTCGTATAGAACTCTGTATAGAAGTTGTGAGTAAGTAGTTTCTTAATGTTTTATTTCTGGAGTTGAAATGTCTCCTTGGCTCAAATGCTGGGGACGATTGAGATTTTTCTCTTTCTGT